AAAAAAAAAAATATATATATATATATATATATATGGCTTCTTTGCCCTGCCCTCCTGTCCATTCCCCAAAGGAATCACTTCCATGTTCAGTATTCATCTCTTTTGAAATCATGTACCTTTGTCCTCCACACAACATCTACAACATCATCTGGATGCATAAGTTTATTTAAATTTCAGTTTTATTTCATTCTGTAACATTTTCACCCTGTTCCATTTATGTCATTATGAGATCAATTACAGTATTCTAATTATGTTACAGTACAATGTGGCTGGGGGTGTTGTGCTCCAACCTTGGCCTTCTCTGAGATCCTGGCAGAAGTAGGGTGACTGAACTAGCTGTCCTCCATCCCAGTCCTGGCTCCTTTTAGGTCCATTGGCTAGCATTGCTGCTGAGGAAAATGCTGCATTGAGACCACAGGGACTCAGGAGATTCCAAATGCCATTCCAGAATTAGAATGTAAGGGCATGCTCAATGTGAGGGTCCCACTGTGGGAAGGGCCGAGCTGCTCTCCTACCACATGTATGGGATGTGGTGGAGTGGGCAGAGGGGTCACATTGGAGAAAATACTTCAATTATCCATGATAGGGGCTATAGTGGGTTAAATTGAGTACCCCTCAAAGGTATGTCTACCTGAAACCTCAGCATGTTACCTTGTTTGAAATAAGTTTCTTTGTAGATATAATAAGAATCTTAAAATGAGATCATTTTATGAAGAGTGCCCTTAGAAGAGGTAGAAAAGAAGAAGAAACAGAGACACCCAGAGTCAGAGTTTGGAGTGATGCAGCTATAATCAAGAGTACCAAGGGTTGCTGGCAACCACCAGAAGCTTGGAGAGATGCGTGGAAGAAATTCTGACTCAGAACCTTCAGAAGGAGCTAACCCTGCAGGCACCTTGATTTTGAACTTTTAGCTTCCCGAACTGTGATAGAATGAATTTCTGTTGTTTTGAATCACCAAATTTGTGGTGATTTATTATGGCAGTCCCAGGAAACAAATACTGAGGGTGTGATGTAAATAAATGTAGTCAATGTCATAACTTTATATTTGGAAACCACAAATATAAACAAAAAAAAAAGAATAGTGAGGGAAACCTTTTGGGCTGCTAGGTATCCATAGAAAACAGAATCGCTTTTTTTCTCAGCGTTGGGGTGCCCACTCTTGAACAGGGACCTGAGATTTGGGTGCCTGCTGCTTTGTAGGACAAACTAGGGTAGTAGGTAAAGGTCAAGAGAAGGAAAACTTTCTAGTATTAGTGTCTGCAAGCAGCCTGGGGTCCTCAAGAAGGACAAATATTCATCGATGGCACTATCCAAGCAGGGGTTGAGTGGCTGCTGCTGGGACTTGCCAGAGGGAAAGGCAGACCAACTCTAGAGCCTCTGATGATGCCATCTGCCTTCCCATGGTGGAATTCTCTTGGTCAATTTTAGCAATTCCTCTCCTGTCACGACTACAAAGAAAGAAATATATGAGAGAGCCTGAGAAAGTGAGCCCTTGTTTCTTGTCCTCCACAGGCCAAGCCTCTCAGGGTGTCTACTATCAACATGGGGGAGACAGGCTTCAGTCTACTAACCATAGGGATATTTTAGAACCTCATTATCTTCTGGCTTTCCTGTGAGATCCTGCAGGATTGAGGGAATAGACAACACAACCAGTGCAGGGTTCCTGCTGGGGCACAGCTGGGGAGTGGCATCAGAACCCGGAAGCAGGACCAGCTGCCGTATCAGACCCTGGAGAGAGATAAGGACAGTTGATTCAGACCCACAACTGCCTGTAAGAGGCTTGGGATCAATGCAACATGGTCCATTTGGACCTGGAGGAAGGAGTGGAGTAGGGGTGGGAAACCTAACATTCTTTAGAGCTAGAAGCTAGGATCACCCATCCATCCATTCATGTATCCACCCATCCATCCATCCATCCATCCATCCATCCATCCATCCATCCATCCACATATCTACCCACTCACCTATCCCTTCATCAATCCATCCATCCATCCATGCATCCATCCATCCATCCATGCATCCATCCATCCATCTATCCATCCATCCATCCATCCATCCATGCATCCATCCATCCATCCAAGCATGCCATTGATGAACATTCACAAAGTGAATCATCAGGCACAGTTCTAAAAACCAGGATACGGAAGGGAAAAAAGTCCTTACCATCATGAGGCTTGCACTCTAGGGAGAGAGATAGACAAGAAGTAAACACAAGAAAATACATAGCTTGTCAAGGAGGTGACCAGTGCTATAGAGAAACAACCAAACAAGTAAAGGGAGCCACCCCTCCCTCCGACTTCACCTATCTACCGCCTCCAGATTCTAAACCAGACTGATTGTCTGGCATTAGTTCCAGAGAAAACAGTAAGTTGCCATTACAGTGCCCAGGTCCCCCTGCCCCTCTAATAAGGAAGAGGTTGCTTCCTGCAAAAAAAAAAAAAAAAAAAAAGTGAGGAGTACTATTTTATCAGAGCTGTGGAGGAAGGTTTCCATAATAAGAGGACATTAGTGCAGGGACTAGAGGAAGGAAGGGAGTGAGGTATTGAGTTATGGCAATTGTAGAGAAGTGGGTTTCAGAAGGCAAGAATAGCATGTGCAAAGACCAGGTGGTGGGGCCTGGCATATTTCTGGAGTGGCCCTGAATTTGTTTCTCCCACTTCTGTCTGGCACATACAATGATTTGTTAAAGTAAGTTATCATGGCAGCAGGAAGAACTTTCGGCAGGAAGTTTCCTCTGTACTCACCGTGAACAGACCTTTTGTCCTTCTCCGGCTGCCAATGAAGAACCGGGCTCCTTGCATAGAGAGGGTGGCTGGGAAGGGCATGTCAGCAGTTCTGAAAACATTGGAGGGTGGTTTTAGGACCATAGCAGAGCAGGGTTGCACCCTGTTTGCTATAAAAAGAGAGGCGGCAAATGCCACATGAGGGTCTTCTGCAAAAGCACACTGAGAGACACTCAGAGGTTCTCCATCTCACTGTGGCCCTTGAGCTGCTGCCCATAGGGGTCGGTAATGGTAACTGTACAGCACCTCCAGCCTGCCCTTCCTGCACTGAGCATCATGTGGACCATGAGGAGGGAGAGTAGGAACACTTGCTGGTGAGGGTGTCCAGAAGTAGTGGCTTAAGTGGAATCTTTATGTTCATTAACACTGAACTCTGGAGACAAGGGCAGGAAGCAACCCTCCTGCTGGTGGGAAAGGGGTGGTCAGAGTCTCTAGTGTAGTAGGAGAGTATGGTACTGCCCTCAGGGTTCCCCTCACTGCCTGTGTCTCATTCCCTTGTCACTGCACCTGCATCTCCAAGAGTTTTGACATCTAGCAGCAGCTGGCTATGCATCATCTTCAAGTGGCTGGACTGTAGGGACTTCACTGTCTCCTAACCCCAATGACCCACTTCCAGACTATAGAATCTAGGTGATGACAAAGAAGCTGAGAAGTTAATTCATGTTTCCAAATGTCCCTGCTTGTGTTAGAACTACTAAGGAAGACTATGCATTTATTTGTAGTCTTAGTGATTAAATATTCTTTCTATCATAGACGAGGATGCTGAGTCTCAGAGTTTGAATCAGGAGTTCAAAGTCACAGAGTAAGGCATGGGCCTCAAGCCCACTCTTTCAAATCCCATGCCAGGGTCCTTTAGGGTTGTCCTCTGTTGCTTTATAGTGCCTATATCAGGATCTCTAGAGTGCACACCCACCCATCCACACCACCAAGCTCCCATGTCTAGAAACCAGGATCCTGCTTGGAATGAAACTCTTCTTCTGGTTTTAACCATTGAATCTCTATTTTGCAGTAGATGTAGGGTCACTTATGAGTCAAAATCAACTTGATAGCAATGGGTGGGGTTTGTTGTTTAAAAAGGTGCCCTGGTGGCACTGTAGGATAAGCTTTGGGCTGCTAACTACAAGGTGAGTGGTTCAAACGCACCAGCTACACTGTAAGAGAAAGATAAAGCAGTCTGCTCCCATAAAGGAAACTCAAAGGAACAGTTCAATAGCCTGTTCTATGAGTAGACATCGACTCAAGGGCAACGGGTTTTTTAAGGTTTTGCTTAGGGAAAGGAGAAGCATAAAACTACTAGATATGACCCATAACATGCATTTTATAAATTCTCATTTACACTCCACCATTTGTCTGTCAGTTTATCACACTGTGTTGGTTTGTGTACTGCTGTGCTGCTGGAATCTGTGCCACTCACTAGTATATTAAATACCAGCGGAGTCACCTATGGTAGACAGATTTAGGCAGAGCTGCCATACTAAGACAGACTAGGAAGAAGGAGAGCCAAGTCACTTCTGAATGGTTGCTCACTGAAAACTTGGTGAATAGCTGCAGAACATTGTCAGATATAGTGCCAGAAGATGAGTCCCTCAGGTTGGAAGGCATTCAAAATATGACTCAGGAAGAGCTGCCTCCTCAAAGTTTGGTGGTGGTGGTGGTGGTGGTGGTTGTATGCCATGGAGTCAGTTCCCACTCATAGAAGAAACCTGGAAAAGGGTTTCGGAGGCTATAAATCTTTACAGGAGCAGAAAGCCTCATCTTTTCCCCACAGAATAACTTGTAGTTTTGAACTGTTGACCTTGAGGTTAGCAGCCTGACTCGCTACCAGAGCTCCTTCCTCAAAGTACAGTTGACCTTAATGACGTGGGTAGAAGTTAAAACTTTCAGGAATTTCATTTGCTGATAGGGCACAACTCAAAATGGGAAGAAACAGCTGCAAGTGTCCATCAATAATCAGAACAAGGACTCTACAAAGTATAAATCTAGGAAATTTGGAAGTCATTAAAAATGAACTGGGACACATAAAGATTGGTATAATAGACATTAATGAGCTAAAATGGACTGGTATTGGCCATTTTGAGTCAGAAAATCAAGTGGTTTACTATACTGGGAAGAACAAATTGAAGAGGAATAGAGTTGTATTTATCATCAAAAAAAGAATCTTAAGATCTGTCTTGAAGCACAATACTGTCAGTGATAGGACAGTAGCCATACACACAGAAGGAGAACCAGTTAATGACTATGACTCAAATTTACGCATCAACCACTAAAGCCAGTTATGATGAAATTCAAGAATTCTACCAACTTCTTTAGAGTACTGTTGTGGCAATGTAGAATACACACAGTTAACTACAAGGCCAATGGTTCAAATCTACCAGCCACTCCTCAGAAGCCCTGTACAGGGTCCATATGAGTCAGAACTACCTCTACCGCATTTACCAAACAACTTTTTCCATCTGAAATTGATAAAAAATGCAATCAAGATGCATTGATAATTACTGGTGATTGGAATGTGAAAGCTGGAAACAAAGAGGAAGGATCTAGAGTTGGAAAATGGGGCTCTGGTGATAGAAATGATGCTGGAGATCACATGATAGAATTTTACAAGACCAATGACTTATTCATAGCAAATACTTTTTTTCAACAACATAAAAGATACACGTAGACTTCTTCAGATGGAATACACAGGAATCAAACTGACTATATCTGTGGGAGGAGATTGTGGAAAAGCTTAAGGAAGTACCATCAGCCAAAACCAGGCCAGGGGCCGACTGTGGAACACACCATGGATTTCTCATATGCAAATTCAGGATGAAACTGAAGAAAAAATTTTAAAGTGCAGGAAAGCCAAAGTATGACCTGGAATATATTTCACCTGAAATTAGAGAGCATCTCAAGAACAGATTTGATGCATTAAACACTAATGAGTAAGATCAAAAGAGTTGTGTAATGACTTCAAGAACATCATACATGAAGAAAGGAAAAGATCATTAAAAAGACAGGAAATAAAGAAAAAACAACACAAAAAACAAAAACCAGACATCAGAAGAGACTCTGAAGCTTGTTCCTGCATGTAGAAAACTATTATGAAGTAAAAGAGCTGAACAGAAAAGTTCAAAGGGCAGCTCAAGAAAACAAAGTAAAATATTAATGAAATATGCAGAGACCTGGAATTGGAAAACCAAAAGAGAAGAACATAGTCAACATTTCTCAAACCGAAAGAACTGAAGAAAAAATTCAAGCCTCAGTTTGCTATACTGAAGGATTCTATGGGCAAAACACTGACTGATGCAGGAGTCATTCAAAGAAGATGAAGGAAATGGAAGTCACTGTACCAAAAAGTATTAGTAAATGTTCCATCACTTCAAGAGATAGCACACGATCAATAATCAATGGTATTGAAGAAAAGAGTCCATGCAGCACTGAAGGCTTTGGCAAAAAACAAGGCTACAGGGACTGATGAAATATAAATTGAAATATTTCAACAAACTGATGTGGTGCTGGAGGCGCTCACTAGTCTATGTCAAGAAATTTGAAAGACAGTTACTTGGTCAATAGATTGAAAAAGATCCGTATTTGTGCATATTCCAAAAGAAAGGTGACTCACTGGAATATAGAACATCAAACAATATCATTAATATCACATGCAAATAAAATTTTGCTGAAGATGACTCAAAAAAGTTTCAGCAGTACACAGAATGGGAGCTTCCAGAAATTCAAGCTGGATTCAGAAGAGGATGTAGAATTAAGGATATCATTGCTGATGTCAGGTGGATCTTGGCTGAAAGCAGAGAATATCACAAAGATGTTTACTTGAGCTTTATTGTCTATGAAAAGGTTCTCAAATATGTGGATCATGATAAGCTATGGATAACATAGTGAAGGATGAGTATTCCAGAACACCTGTGTTTGTGAGGAACCTGTATATAAACCAAGAGGCAGTCATTTGAACAGAACAAGGGAGTACTTTAAAATCAGAAAGGTGTATGCCAGGGTTGTATCCTTTCACCATATTTACTCAATCTGTATGCTGCACAAATAGTCCAAGAACCAGAGTATATGAGTCCTGGCATCAGGGCTGGAGGAAAACACAATAACAACCTGTAATATGCAGATGATACAACCTTGCTGGCTGGAAATGAAGAGGACTTGAAATATTTACTGATGAAGATCAAAGACTACAGCCTTCAGTATGGATTGCACCTCAATGTAAAGAAAACAAAAATCCTTACCACTGAACCAGTAAACAGCATCCTGATAACCTGAGAAAAGATTCAAGTTGCCAAAGACTTCATTTTGCTTGGATCTACAACCAACACTCATAAAAACAGGAGTCAAAACAAATGATGTATTACATTGGGCAAATCTGCTGCAAAAGACCTTTTTAAAATGTTAAAAGCAAAAATATCATTTTGAGGACTAAAGTGTTCCTAACCCAATTCATGGTATTTTCAGTCAGTTCATATGCATGTGAAAGTTGGGCAATGGATATGGAAGACTGAAGGAGAATGAATGTTGTGTTGACAAAGAATATTTAAAGTACCATTGACCACCAGAAAACAAACAGATCTGTGCTGGAAGAAGTATAGCCAAAATGCTCCTTAGAAGCCAGGATGGTGGAATTTTGCCTCTCAGTCTTTGCATATGTTGTCAAGAGGGACCAGTTCCTGGAGAAGAACATCACATTTTGTAAAATGGAGAGTAAATGAAAAAGAGAATGACTTCCAAGGACATGGGTTGACACATGGCAGCAACAATGGGGCCAAACATAACAATTGTGAGACTGGCATAGGACAGGGCAAGTGGTTTGTTCTGTTGTGCATAGTGTTGCTATGAGTCAGAATCAACAACATCCAACAACAACAGCGACATTTACACTCATTCTAGGATCCCAGCATGACTTCTGTATTTCAGACCAAATCTAGGAGCTGAGCCAGAGTCAGTTCTTTTTTCCTCCCACTCTCTTGAAAGTCTCCTCTAGTTCATAGGCCATAAACCTGACCTGGTTAAGGATTTAAACAGGCTCTCTGGGAATGCAGAAGGTTTGCACCAGATTATTAACTGAAAGGTTGGCAGTTTAAATCCACCCAGGTGTCCTGGTGTGGCACTGTAGGATAAACACTTGACCACAAGGTCTGTTTGAATTGATGGCACTTAACAACAGAGGTGGAGCCCTGATGTGGCGCTGTGGGTTAATGTGTCACACTGCAAAGCCGTTTGAACTGCAAGGTCGGAAGTTCAAGCTCACCAGCTGCTCCTTGGAAACCCTATATTGGGTCGCTATGGGTCAGAATTGACTCTACGGGCACTTAACAACAACAACAGAGGTGCCTCAGAATCTACTTCCAAAAATAATCAGCCATTTAAAACCAATGGACACATGGGTCTACAGGGTCACACTGAGTCAGCAATAACACAACGGGAACGCGTTTGGCTTTCTTGTGAGGATGGGTGAACTTAATGGAGACTTTGCTCAATGTCAGATGGACCAAGAACAGAGAGGCAATGGACCCACCCTGCCACTGATGGGCAGGATCACCACACAGCTCATATGACCCTCTCCGGTACCTACATGTCTATGGGGAGACCACAGTCCACCGTGAGGGAGAAGGATCCTTCTGACACAGCCAAGACCATCGTGTGCCACTGGCTGTCCATCAGTGCCAGATTCCGGAAGGACACACGGGTCTGCCAAGCCCCCGAGGCGTCCTCGCTGAGGAACAGGAAGTGGAGCTTGCTGGCCGAGTACCGCAGCCCGAGCAACAGCGTACCTCTCTCCTCCGACACCACCGTGAGCAGGTACTCATTCTTCTGTAAGAAAGGGATGGAGGGTGAGGAGGCCACAGGGCCAACAGTGAGTGCTGACAAAAACCAAAGGCACCCCCACCTACCATGACCACAGACCCAAACACTGGCAAATTCCACTGCTCTGAAAAATGGCTCTCTTATGGATTGGATTGTGTTCCACTCCCACACAGACATGTGGAAGATCCAACACCTGGTTCCTGTAGATATGACCTTGTGTGGAAACAGGTTATTTTTTATTTTTTCATGTTAATAAGGACATACCACAGGAGGAAGTGGTCCTAAACCTAATCCCTTTTGAGAGGTGTCTTATAGACACAGAGAGACACACAAGGGGAAGACAGACATCATGTGTGGACCTGTCCATGGCTACCTATAAGGAAGGGGCCAACACGGCCGAGACCCTGATTTGAACTTTTAGCTTCCTGAACTGTAAGACAATACATTTCTGTTCTTGAATCGCCCACGTGTGGTATTTGTATTACAGTAGCACTAGGAGACTAATTGGTTTAGCCCTAACTGGATTATATACAAGCAATTTATACTTAATTATAATTAATGGTCATTAACATTCTACTAATTCCTTGTCTACCACAGCTTACAGAGTGGTGGTTATGTAAGAATTTAAAATGATTAATCCTAAAGGGCAAAGCAGATATGTTATATATCTGTGTAAACCTCAAGCCAGATTCAATGCAACTATTTTTCTAAACAAGTTGAAAACCTCCCAGGGCCTTCATATTTAATTTAATGCCCAATTCAGCAATGCAAACTTTAGCCCAGTTGGGTTCACCTATTCCTGACCATCTTGGGAGCTCAGAGGACAGACATGGCCCTTTGGTTTCCGTGGCAGAAAGTGGCCGCCTAGATGGGGAAGAATTCCCCAAAGGGAACTGGGTAGGAATGCCAGAAAGCACATGAAGAGCTTGTAAGCTGTAAACACTGTGAACATGAGACTCTTAGAGTGAAGACCCGGAGACTTTGGTGATCCCACAAGGCAGACAAAGGAGTGGGGAAGGTGAGCTGACTCCACAGTCAGTAGCTTTGTGAAATGGGCTGCCATGTGCACATTTGTAGGCACAGGGAGGCAATATATGACCTGACATTCCCTGGGTGGGGCTTGAGTCCCAGGGACCTTCCAGTGGATTTGGCATCTGCCCTGTGATTTCTGAGGTGAGTCGTGACTTCATAGAGTGTTCATATTAGGGGTCAAAACCATGTGCTCCCATCCTGGGAATCGAATGACAGGAAAGAGAATCAGAAGATCAAGATGATTTATTCAGGTGTCCAATGAGGTGCTGACAGGTTGGAAGTCAAGGTCATGTGAAACAAAGTCCATGAACTAGGAGGAGAGAGAGGTTGGCAGGTGGAGACAGAGATTTGAAAGAGTAAGGCTGGGGTTAGGTGGGGGTTGCAGGAGATCAGGGAGCAAAGTCATATTGGAACTGTGGAGACTTAGAGGTCCCCCATCTTCAGATGTGGGAAGCCACTTAGCAGGGTCAGGATGAGCACTAAGTGGGGTGAAGGGCATAGCGGCAGCAGGACCTGCAGCCCACGTGGTCTTGAGAGGAGTGCTTGGTCAGCAGGTGGACTTCTGGCCAGGTGAGGGGTCACAGCAGACTGGGTGGCACATGGGGCGGCAGAGCAGGGACACACAGGAGGATGCGGGGGCACAGCAGGATGAGGCAGGAGCAGAGCAGGCAGGCTTGCACACAGGGCTGCAGATGAGGGACACGGAAGAGGAGGGTTTGCAGCAAGAGAGGGCACAGGGAGAGGGAAGGCAGCATGAGGAAGATGAGCAGGAGGAGGCCCTACAGCACACAGGCACACAGCAGATGGGCTTGAAGCAGACAGGCACACAGCAGGCCTGCTGGCAGGGGGAGGATGTGCAGCTGGATGACTGACAGCTAGACTGCTGGCAGCAGGAAGGCTCACAGGAGCTAGTGCAGGTGGATTGGCAGGGGCTGGACCCACAGCTCACAGGGGTGCA